TGTGTGCTGGATGATGGGTGTGTGTGTGTGTGTGCTGGATGATGGGTGTGTGTGTGCTGGATGATGGGTGTGTGTGTGTGTGTGCTGGATGATGGGTGTGTGAGTGTGTGTGCTGGCTGATTGGTGTGTGTGTGCTGGATGATGTGTGGGGGGGGGTGGGAAGCATTTTTTTACTTTATGTATAATTTTTATTTTATTCCCCCCTCCCTGCTTCTTACCTTGTCAGGGAGGGGGGAGATCGCCTGGTGGTCCGGTGGAGGGAGCCAGCCGCTGCACAGAGGGGCCATCGCACACGCTGTGTTCCCTCTCCAGCTCTAACTCTCGCGAGACTCGCCTGTGCGGAGCGTTGCCATGGTAACAGCCGCGGGTCTCGCGAGAGTTATAGCTGGAGAGGGAACACAGCGAGTGCTGGCCCATCTGTGCAGGTAGCAGGGCCAGTCCTGCAGGACAGGTAATGGGAAAGGCGTTCCTGCTTTGGAAAAAGTGCAGGAACGCCGTTCCCATGCGTTCCTGCAGGACTCGAGCCCTGGATACCACCCATGCATAGGTGTGTCGGGTTCTCTGGGGGGTGCAAAGCAAAACGTCTGATATGTGTTTTTCAAATTTTACATATCTTGTTTACCTATTTTCTTTTTGGGGGCCTTATCAAATATCCCAATGTATTTTCTTGCCATGAGCGTGCATATATTTGAAAAGGTGACACCCCACGGTATTGTATATTGAGTGTTTTGATGCCTTAGATGCAATCGTTTTAGTCAAAAAATTTAAGAAACTGTGTGGAAGAAACTGTTCAATTTTCTTTTTTTTCACACACATTGCTTTTTGACTGTGATTTGTTGTTTTCTGCAAGGCCTCCTTAGTACACCCATGCCCCCCATGCATAGGGTAAGTGTAACAAAACCAAAAAAAAACACCATATAAACTGAACGGCAAATGTTAAAAAAAAAAAAATGGACCAGTGTGTGGTATCGTTTGAAGCAGTCCCCAATGCAGAGTCCACGCTGTCCAGGGCAATCAGGACAGTGATATACAGTATATTTTCTCTGCCCCCTCTTAAAACAGACTCTGCATCTTTTTTGGGGGATTCTGCTTTGCTGCAGTAGGGGGGATTTTAAAAAGGAAATGTGTAGCCCCAGCTCTGCTCTCTCCCATCAACGCCCGGGGAGCAGGTCCCGAAATGATCTGGAGCTGAAACTGTAAAAAAACTCAGTTGCGTCCCGGGGTTTGCTTTTTTGAACAATCTGCATTAGGTTGCATTAGGGTGTACCAGGCCCTTGTCTTTCATATAATTAGGTAGGGCTGCAGCAGCTGATCTGCCAGATCAACCCCACCCATATGCCAGTTATAGGCCTTGATGCACACTGGCTTCTTGGTGCTCTCAGCTCTGTCACGTACAGGGATCTCCAGATACCCTCAGTGTGGGGGGTAGTAAGAAGGTACACATCCTTCCTGTCTCTGTACTTATCTGCCAACAGCTCCTCTTGGCGCAGAACTGAGTGCGTGCAAATTGTCCTGGGAAACCTGTGTTGTTCTTTTTGATTGTAACGCAAGCTACTGTATCAAAATAGTACAGTAGCTTGAACAAAGGGACACTTGTATAATAATTGTCAGTATACAAGTGGTACCCTTTGTTCATCAGGGGGAATATCAGGTCCCAGACAATCTTGCCAGTGGTTCCTATATGTTCTGGGCAACCTGGAGGGTCAAGGTGGCTATCCTTTCCCTCGTACACATGGAAGGCCTGAGTATACCCAGTCTCGCTATCACAGAGCTTATACATCCTTACATCATACCTAGAGCACTTGGACGGAATATACTGCTTGAATCCCAGCCTCTGCAAACCTGGCAGCGAAGTGTGTAATCAGGGGGCAGATTTTATACAGCCTGTCAAACTGGGGATGCTCCCTAGGGAGGCACAGGCTGTTGTTGCTGAAGTGCATGAGATGCAGTATCATTTCATACCTCTTCCTCGACATACATTGGGAGTAAATGGGGGTAGAGCAGATGGGGCTACTGCTCCAGTAGGAGCGGATGTTGGGCTTCTTTATGATGCCCATCAGCATAGTCAATGCCCAGAATCTTTTAAATTCTGGCACATCGATGGGGGCCCATTGCTGCTTTGCCAAAAAAGAGTCAGGCTTTGCAGCTCGGAACTGATCGCCATATAAATTAGTTTGGGCGGCAATGTTCCCCAATACATTATCGCCCAGAAACACCTCCATAAACTGCTGAGGGCTAAATCCTGTGACATCCAAATTGATGCCAGGATTTGCAGTAAAGGGTGGGATATCTGGCCTCTGGCGATGAAGCACTACCCACACCTCAGTAGTACTGCCAGCTGAAGCAGCACGTCTCCTTCTGGCAGGGGGACTAGCAGGCACAGATACAACATAACTAGATACATCACTAGCAGCAGACACTGTATCTAGTGATGATGTATCTGAGCAACTGGCAGGGTCAAAATCAGGGTCGGAGTCTGACATATATGCGTCAGACTCTAGTGCAAGGGTGGCATATGACTGCTCATCGCTGGTTCACTTCCGTGACCCATGTGACATGATCACAATCACTTTACTTAGTGACCTGTCACAAAAAAATGAACAGACAGCAAAACAAGTGCTGCTGTGCAAGAGCCTGTGATCTGTTTAGTGATCACTGGCAGGACAGGGGTTAATAGTTCTGAAAAGAGCTTTTGGGTCTCACAAAAAAAAATCACAAACAAATGAACCCTGTAACGGACCGTTTTGCCCAAAAGATGTTAAAAACTGTTTAGGCGATATTCCCCTTTTTCAGCTGCACCGACAGCTACTGCAAGCACCAATGTCCTGAACTGCAAACCCACGAATTCACCGACTCCCAAGGGAATACTCGAAACTCCCGAACTGGAGACACACGAATAGCTGCTAGCAGACGAACAGGAAAAGCCCCCAAGCGGCTTACACTCCTGGAAATCAGTCTCTAACAGCATACAGTAAATCCTCCCCCAATAATGAGACGACACTTCACTTTGAGGGTTAAGCAGGAACTCCTTTACTGGGGCTAACTGCCCGGCTTTTATGCAGGTCTCCCACCTGGTGGACACTCCCCTAGGGGACCAAATGGGAGACTGGGACACAAAGGATAAAAGGACCAATCACAGACTTACACATTTCAACCATCCCACAATGCATCACAATCCCTCCTCTCTGCTCTGGAGATAATTGAGAAGTAATTGAATTATCTCCAAAGACAGAGGCAAAACTCCATTAACCACATGGCAGAAAACAAACAGTAAAAGACATAAAATTACCTACAGTTACATTCAGTACATAAAACATATACGTTCGACATATCCCCAGATAGCTCAGGTCTGAAGGCACATTATTAAGCGAATGGCGCTCAGACCACACGAATACAGTTTAATCGCCATGGAGCCAAAGTCTTTACACAGTCAGTTTCATGCAAATGGGCTCCAGGGGATTCCTATCTGGGGTACAACACACTCAAACAAAACTACCGAACACCGGGCCGTTCGTGCACTTTCACCGAACAAGAAGGGAGGTCGGTGACTTCAGCGGTGTTCGCGCAAAACTGTGTCCGATTTCAGTTCCATGAATTAAGCGTCGAACACCGCTGTGCATTCACATGTTTAAAATGGCCGCGACCTTGTGTTCGTGATACGAATGGCGGCCACCCAGCATTCGTCAATTAAGCTGCGGTTAACCGCAGCTTCAGGGAGGTTAATTGCCGGCACACTCCAGCTCCCAGGTGGTCTATTCATTCGTGCGGTTGTTCGGTAGATTGAATCTACCAAACACCCGGCAGAAAAGCACGAATAAGTCTTTTCTGCAGGGAAAAAGATGTCTTTTAACATGGGGCCATAGTCCAAAGGCAGCAGGCGAGCAACCAGGCTTCTCCAGTGTACAGTGGCGAGGTTGGTTTCACCACAAGCCCCTAAAAAAATGCACAGATAGCAAAAAAGTGCTGCTGTGCAAAAGCCAGTGATTATAGTGATCACTTGTCGAGGAGCCGAGAATGAGGAATAAACATACCACCCAGGAGGGGTGAGAAAATCAATTATTATATAGAGTATCTCACAAAAGTGAGTACACCCCTCACATTTTTGTAAATATTTTATTATATCTTTTCAAGTCACCCTCCAAACACCCTGGCAGATGCCTGGTCAGTTTCTTGTCCTGGTAGGCCCAAGAGTTGGCCGGCTGGCCACCTTGGACCCACCGAGGCTGACATCTGTTCTGTTTGTGGACGGGTGTCTATTAGTGACAGTGTGTGTGTCTGTTAGTGAGTGTGTTAGTGTGTGTCTGCTAGTGAGAGTGCGTGTGTCTGTTAGCGAGAGTGTGTGTGTGTCTGTTAGTGAGTGTGTATATGTCTGTCAAAGAGTGTGTATGTCTGTCACTGAGAGTGTATATGTGTTTGTCAGTGAGAGTGTATATGTGTCTGTCAGTGTGTGTGTATCTGTCACTGAGAGTGTGTGTCTGTCAGTGTGTGCATGCCTTTCTGTCAATGTATGTATGCGTGTTTCGGTGTGTATATGCGTGTCTGTCAGTGTGTGTATATGTGTCTGACATTGAGTGTGTGTGTGTCTGCAGGGCCGGTGCCGGGTCTCTTAGAGTTCTCCCCTCCTGTCCCTTATTGCTCTCCCTTGCTCCACTGTCCCATAATAATCTCCCCTGTCCCTTAGTGATATCCCTGCCCCCTTTCCCTTAGTGCTCTCCCCTCCTGTCCCTTACTGCTGTATCCTGCCTACTGTCCCTTATTGCTCTGACCTTCCCTCAATCCCTTAGAGCTCTCCCCTCCCATCTGTCCGTTATTGGTCTCTTCTCCCCCACCCTATCCCTTATTGGTCTCTCCTCTCTCGGCCCCCCCCCAAAGTGATCTTTCCTGTAGTGCTCTCCCTTCC